GGACTAATCTTTCCATTGTATCTTGTTTTCTTCATTCTCTCTTGCTCCTGAAGGAGTGAGACCAGTGGAATATCTTAGATGGCTGTTCACAGGCTTAAAAAAAAAAAACTCTTAATAGCAGTCAGAGGAAAAAGAGCATATGACATACATGGGAAGACCAATGTGAACAGTTACTTCTCATCAGAAGCAATGGAGGAAAGAAGACAGTGGGATGACGTCTTTAAAGAGATGAAAGAAATAACTGTCAACTCAGAGTTCTTTACCTAGTGAAAACGTCCTTCATGAATGAAAGCAACATAAAAACATTTTTAAAATAAACGCATTTTCAGAGAAAGGAAAACTAAGAGAATTTTCTGGCAGTAAACCTACACTACAAGAAAAGCTAAAGAGTTCTTCAATCTGAAGGAGTATGATACTAGATTAAAATCTGGATCTGTAGGAAGTAATGAACAGCGACAGAAATGGGAAATATCTGGTAAATATAAAAGGACAATTTTTACTACTGATTTCTAAAGACCTATATGAATGTTTAAAGCAAAAATTATGACACTGTAATGTGGGGTTTATAACGTATATAGATGTAATACATATGACAACTATGGCCTTTAGGATGGGGGGGGCAGTAAAGGAATCTATATAGTTACAAGGTTCTTACATTTTACATGACCCAAACCCACTGCCATCCAGTCGATTCTGACTCATAAGGACCCTGTAGGGTGGAGTAGAACTGCCCCATAGGGTTTCCAAGGAGCGACTGGTGGATTCAAACTGCTGACCTTCGGGTTAGCAGCCAAGCTCTTAACCATTGTGCCACCAGGACTCCCATTATACTTGAAGTGGTGCAATATTAACTCTAAGTTGTTGTTCTTTTAGGTGCCATCGAGTCAGTTCCCACTCATAGTGACCTTATGCACAAAAGAACGAAACACTGCTGGGTCCTGCACCATCCTCACAATCGTTGCTGTGTTTGAGCCTGTTGTTGCAGCCACTGTGTCAATCCATCTCGTTGATGGTCGTCCTCTTTTTCACTGACCCTCTACTCTACCAAGCATGATGTCCTTCTCCAGGGACTGCTCCCTTCTAATAACATGTCCAAAGTACATAAGATGAAGTCTCACCATCCTTGTTTCCAAGGAGCATTCTGGCTGTACTTCTTCCATGACAGTTTTGTTCATTCTTCTGGTGGTCCATGGTAGATTCAATATTCTTTGCCAACATCATAATTTAAAGACATCAGTTCTTCAGTCTTCCTTATTCATTGTCCAGCTTTGAGGCAATTGAAAATATCGTGGCTTGAGTTAGGCGCCCCTTAGTCCTCAGAGTAAGATCTTTGCTTTTTAACACTTTAAAGAGGTTCTTTGCAGCAGTTTTGCCCAATGCAATGCATCGTTTCATTCTTGACTGCTGCTTCTATGGGCGTTGATTGTGCATCCAAGTAAAATGAAATCCTTTCTCTGTTTGTCAGGATGTTGATTGCTGGTCCAGTTGTGAGGATTTGTGTTTTCTCTATGTTGAGGTGTAATCCATACTGAAGGCTGTAGTCTTTGACCTTCATCAGTAAGTGCTTCAAGTCCTCTTCACTTTCACTAAGCAAGGATGTGTCATCTTCATATCACAGGTTGTTAATGAGTCTTCCATCAATCCTGATGACACTTTTTTCTTCATATGGCCCAGTTTCTCAGATTATTTACTCAGCATACAGATTGAATAAGTATAGTGAAAGGATACAATCCTGATGTGCACCTTTCCTGACTTTGAACCATGCGGTATCCCCTTGTTCTGTTTGAACAACAGCCTCTAAGTCTATGTACAGGTTCTCCATGAGCACAATGAAGAGTTCTGGAATTCCCATTCTTCATAATGTTATCCATGATTACTTATGATCCACACTATCGAATGCCTTTGCATAGTCAATAAAACACAGGTAAACATCTTTCTGGTATTCTCTGCTCTCAGCCAAGAGCCATCTGACATCAGCAATGATATCCCTCACTCCATGTCCTCTTCTGAATCCAGCTTGAATTTCTGGTAGTTCCCTCTTGATGTACTGCTACAACTGTTTTTGAATTATCTTCAGCAAAATTTTACTTGTGTGTGATATTAATGATATTGTTCAATTATTTCCTTATTCTGTTGTATCACTTTTCTTTGGAATGGGCACAAATATGGATCTATTTCTTCCAGCTGGTTGGCCAGGTAGCTATCTTCCGAATTTCTTGACATAGATGACTGTGCACCTCCAGAGCTGCATCCATTTGTTGTAACATCTCAGTTGGCATTCTGTCAGTTCCTGAAGCTTTATTTTTTGCCAATCCCTTCAGTGCAGCTTGGACTTCTTCCTTCGCTACCATTGGTTCTTGATCATATGCTAAATCCTGAAATGGCTGAACGTCGACCAATTCTCTTTTGCTACAGTGACTGTGTTTTCCTTCCATCTTCTTCTGATGCTTCCTGCATTATTCAGTATTTTGCCCATTGTTATCATTTTTAGGTGCCATCGATTTGGTTCTGACTCATAGCGACCCTATACACAACAGAAGGAAGCACTGCCTGGTCTTGTTATGCTTGAGTCCATCATTGCAGCCACTGTATCAACAGCCCAAAGCTGATTGGTATGAGGCAGAGTTCAGATATGCCTCCTCTCTGCCATCTTTACAAAATCTGACACCAACTGTCCCTCCCACAGCACTCTCTACTTTTCTGCTGGGTTTGAGAATTCATTGCAATGGCCACACAGAACTCACAGACAAGACTCATGATTATGGGATTTATTAGGGAAGTAACAGACTACAATTCAGGTAGAGTAATGTTCATATGCATGTGAAAGCTGGACAATGAATAAGGAAGACTGAAGAAGAATTGATTACTTTGAATCATGGTGTTGGTGAAGAATACTGAATATACCATGGACTGCTAGAGAAACACACAAATCTATCGTGAAAGAAGTACAGCCAGAATGCTCATTAGAGCATTAATCTTGAATCTCCTTTCCCCTTGTGGAAAGAGAAGAGGGCAGATGCTGCACGCATGCCATTTTTACAGGGCGAAAGCCTTGAGGCAAGACATCTGGGATTACCTCCAAACCTCGGATGCTAATCTGTCTTTCATGTAGCAGCCCATTCACCTCTTTCCCTGCTGGGAAACCAAGAAGCAGGCACTGTAACACGAATTGGAACAGTGCATCCCAAAGGAGAAGCTACACACTGGATGTACCAGAAAAGTGGACACTGTAGTGCCTGTGTTGGTCGAAAAACAGCTAAAGAGGCAGGCATAGCAGTGAAGTATAGTGATTTGAAGGTTGCTGTACAAAATTATCCTGTGTACTCACACCAACGCCCAAGGCGTCTCCTCACGATCCGGGGAAGATACATAGGTGAACACAGCCATGGATGAATTGGCAGGTAACTTATATAGAGCCTGTGCAGCCCAGTGAGAGAGCAAAATACACTGTCATATGTGTGGATAGTTACTGACTTGACATAGGCGTTCTTGTGTAAAGAATGAACCAGGCTGCTATAACAAAAGAACTACAAAAATTGAGTGTTATGTATGGCATGCCTGGAAGGATTGATAGTGAGCAGCGCACACACTTTACAGGTCATTTAACAGGACATGTGCCATAGTAAAAACTGAATGTTGTACCTATATACCAGACTATCACCAGAACACAACTGATTTGTTAGGCCATATGAAGAAACAGAAGTCTTGAACACACATGATGGCTTATCTGCTGTGGCTGCCTGGTTATCCTCTTTTCCCTCTGGCTGGCAAGGTTTGTTGTTGGGTATAGGTCTTTTCTGCTGTGTTTGTCTATATTGCTAGTATGGTCTTTCCCTCCAACTGCAGCAATGCTGTCTGTCCTTAACTAGTGTAACACCTCCTCTAGAGGCCCTCACGGACCTTGCAGAAGAGGGGGAACATGCCAGATTGTGAGAGTTGGCCTCCAGGGGTGGGCTGAAGGGAAAACAGACTTTGCGAGGCTGAACATGGCTGCCATCATGCTTTCTGCTCGTTCACTGCCATTTGCTAAGTTATTCTTATGTAATTCTTGCTGAGGCAGCCTTATGTCAGTCTCGAGGCATCCCTGGCATCTAGCCACTATTGTTCACCACCAATATAAAAACCTCTGCCCTCCTGCCCCCCACTGTGGGGCACAGAGATTTGCTTGTCCTTATGCCGTGCAGGTCCTGACTCACATGTAAGACTGCCTAATAAATTCCTCTGCTGCCAACCTAGAGTTGCCTGTCTCTTTCTTCAGTCTCTTGGTGCCCTCCATTTTTGGAGGCAAGTTTCATGTTACTGGGACAATACTATTTATACAACGTTCTAGAAAAGGCAAAGTGAATCAACGGTAGGAAAAAAATCCCAACAGTGATTGTCTGTTGGGGGCAGGAACAGGGATTGACTGTAAAGGGGCAAAAGGGAACTTTCTGGAGTGCTGAAGTTTATATTTCAGTGGAGTTTGTGGTACACAAGAGCATGCATTTGACAAAACTCACCAAATGGTACACTTTAGATCTGTGCAGTGAATATTCACTGTTTGTAAATTTTACCCCCAAAAAGAACTTCAGACAAATATTGGACTCTGATTCATATTATGTATGCTGAAGTATTTAATGGTAAAACGTATTGATATCTGCTACTTATTATCAAATACAGAATAAAATTAGTTGGTTAATGGACAGAAGGAGGAATGGAGAGATGGATATGATATGTGATGAAGCAAAAATAGCAAAACGTTAATGGTAGAATCTGGGTGGTAAGCATATGAGTGTTCACCGTACAGTTCTTCCAACTGTTCTGTATCAGTTTGTTTGGTGAGTGGTGTCAGCCACTCCAGAAGAGGAAATCAAAAGAAACGCACTCACTTTACCAAACTTTGACCAATTTCTTATCAAAATCCCAACACCACTAACATTTATTGCCAGCCTTACAATTAATGTAGAAAGTGTGGTCTCATCGGTTCCGGAGGGGTTGTTGGTTCTTGGCACAGCCACATATCACAGTTTCCTGAGGAAAGGTGGTCTGCACAGCATCCTCTCATCCCACAGGTACTCAGGGGAGAGCACTTTGGTGCACTTGTGGTACAGCAGGTACTTGTTCAGGCGGCTCTTGTCATGGCACTCAGCCTCAATGTGATTGGCGTGGTCCACCATCATCGCCTGGTGACAGGCCTTGGTGAGCGTGTGCACTTCTAGCACTGAGCACAAAAAGCTGCCGGCATAGTACAAATCACCTTCATCTCTTGGAATGTAGGCCTGAGACAATGGGCGGCGTTCATACGTGAAGGCCTGGCAATCGGCAGCGTAGAAGCCAGGGTGGAGAGTGCCAAACAAGGAGAAGAGGATCTCCACACCCACGTGGTCGCTGAACTTCATGTCCACATCTAAACACACCAGGTAGTCCACCTCACGTGGGAGCTGCTGCTCGGAGAAGTTGCTGATCATCTCCATGGAGTGCATGGACACATCCTGCCAGTGGGGGTAGTTGCGGACCTCGAGGACCACCACCTGCCAGCCTTCCTGGAGGAGGATGCGCAGGACATTAGCTGGCTGGTCAGTGAAGAGGTAGTAGTTGACCTTGTCTCCCACCATTAAGTACTTGACTGCAGTCTCCAGGAACAGCTTCAGGAAGACTATGTATCTAAGACCAGGAAAGAGAGGGCGGGAGTTAAACAGAGTGAACAGCAGCAAAAGAAGGAGACTTAGACAAAACTGTCTCATAATGGTAGCCATTCTACTCGCTTCAGATGATGTGGCCCAACTGTACTGGGCATATGCAGGGACGTTCAAATTTGCTTGGTGTTGAGCAAATATTCACAAGAGCGAAGACTTCTAGGCAACATGGCACTATAGTCAGTAGCACCATGCCATCCCTCCACAGCAAAGATCAGAAAAACTAAGTTAAATAGAGTCACACATCAATCCTGAAACCCTAAGCATCAAATGAAGAGATAAAGAACTCAGCCAAGCACCAAAAGGAATAAGAATCTGACTGAGAACAGAGAGCAAGGAGTGATACATGCAGAGGTCCCCTATCAGCTACTGCAGCATGGATCCACCATCTTGGACTCCTATCTAAGATCAGCAAACAGGGTGAATGAGAAAGCAGCTTCATGGAGCTTCCAGCAGGAGACAGAACAACCAGTAACCAGTGATATAGGCTTTCCCACCCCCCACCCTTCTTCACCCCCACTTAGCCTCCTCTGCTTCCTGCAGCCAGAGTCTCTTGGATGGGAAGAACCCTGGTGTCCCTTGGATTCCACTCGCCAGCGCTGGCCGGCTCCCTCAGTGCCTTTTGTTGGCTGCTGGTGTTGCTGTTTTTCCACTTCTTTAGATTTCTTTCTTACCTCTCACCACCTCTCCCTCCTTTCTCTCAAATACCTGGCTCCGTGCACCATTTTTGCTTCTTCCTGAAAGGTTGTGAAACACCGATTGATGGCGACTGCTTCCCGGCGTGCGGCCACACTGGTAGGACCCCTGAGGCTTTTTTGTTTGTTTGCTCTGATTTGTTATGTTTTGATTTGTTTGTTTGTTGTCTTTTTCTTTTCTTGGCTTGGGAGCCTCTTCTAGCCAGGCAACACTATGCGGCTTGGAAGCTACTCCCTTATTCTGCGCGGACACACAGGGACATCCCTGGCATTTCTTTTTCTTGTTTTTGTTTTGTTTTGTTTTGTTTTTAGCTTTTTTGTTTCTTTCTTTTGTTTTCTTCTCTCTCTTACAACAGGGAACCAGAGAGGTTAATCTGTAAATGACAACAGCATCAGAACAATAAAAGAGGCAATAAATGGCATAGGTATAGAACCTTCTACTGGAGAGGAGGGCAAGGCGATACCAAGTAATAATAGACTGGTTCAAATCTAGGAAGATAAGAGTAAATTCCAAGGTAACCACAAAGAAAGTTAACAAACCTACTCATCAAAATAAAGAAGAAAAACATAAAGTCTCAGTAAAAACAAAACCTACAAAAACAGAAGAAATGAAAAAAAAAATCCACAAAACAAAAGGAACTCAGCACAGGATAGTAAGAGGAACAAAGAAAATGTCAGCACCATTAAAAAAGGCACTACAAAATGCAATCCCAATCCTAGGAATATATCCTAGAGAAATAAGGGTCATCACACGAATAGATATATGTACACCCATATTCATTGCAGCACTGTTCACAATAGCAAAAAGATGGAAACAACTTAGATGGCCATCAATAGATGACTGGATAAACAAACTATGGTACATACACACAATGGAGTATTACGCAAAGATAAAGAACAATGATGAATCTGTGAAGCATCTCATAACATGGATGTAACTGGAGGACATTATGCTGCATGAAATAAGTCAATCACAAAAGGACAAATATTGTATGAGACCTCTACCGTAAAAACTTATGTAAAAGTTTACACACAAAAAGAAACAATCTTTGTTGGTTACGAGGGGTGGGAGGGTTGAGGGGGGACTAAATAGACAATAGATAAATGGTAACTTTGGTAAAGGGTACGACTGTATGCAAATACTAGGGAAGCCAGCACAACTTGTGCAAGGAAAGGTGATGGAAGCTCCATAGACCCTTCCAAACTCCCTGAGGGACTGAATTGCTGGGCGGAGGGCTGTGGGGACCATGGTCTCGGGGAACATCTAGCTCAATTGGCATAACACAGTTTAT